TAAAACTTTGAGGGACCATTTGTCGAAATTGAAACATGGGCTAATTAATTGTTACAGTATCCTCGAGTAGGGGATAATTTGTAATTAACCTTTTTTTTTTATTTCTGTTCCTTAATCTCCACGGAAAAATGACTTCCACTTAAGATTGTCCACTGAGTAAGGCAGTTGCTTTTTTTCTTTTTCTTTTTTTTTTGGGTATCATTACAATGGTAATACCACTTGACAAGGTGAGATGGTATCATCAACCAATAATACTAAAATAAATAAACAGAAGGACCCCACAAAAATTCATAACTAATATGTCGTATAAGCAAATAACTCTCTACCCTTTTACTATATAAGTCATAGTGGGGTTCACCTTTCACATTTAAGGTTTTATGATTGGCCGGTGATCATCGTTGTATTCAATATTTACTTAGTGGGGGTGGGGGCATTGGGGGCCCACATTACAATGTTGATGCTTATCTATATGGATCACAACCTAATCAACGTGTCACCGGCTTGGATTAGATATTAAAAGTGGGATTTGATCTCTAATTCTTACTCAAATTTAATTTTGAGTAAAAAGATGTTTAAAACGAACTCCAACTCTTCACTCCACTTTATACAAAATGAAGATAGACATAATTTTTTTCTCAAATTAAAGGAAATTCAATTTATATTTACATCATCAATAGTTAGATTGATCATATTTCACTTTTTTTTATTGACCCAGAGAATATTTTAGTCTATATATGCGTAAGGTGACTCTGACGGCAATGCCAAAAAATAAAACTTATAATATGTGGTGTGCGGTGGAGTTAGCGTAATGTAAAACTAATATGATAATGTATGGCTGAATCCTTCAAACACACGTAATGTACCGATATTATGATACTTTATGACGACAGTCCCTTGAATTCAATGGAGTTCTTCCACTTACTATTTCGTGCGTGAATATTCAATGCTGGATAAAGATTTGGTGAAGGGTCCAGATAGTGGAATACTTTTCTTTTGGTTGTTAGTTTTTCGAAAAGGTGAAAAAAAAAAAAAAAAAAAAGCAGCATTTCATAAGCTACCTAAACAAAAAAAAAAAAAAATCATCATTTTTTTACCAGAAAATTTTAATTATATCTTTGTTGACGTTATTTTGCGAATGCATTCAATACCTGCTCGGTTTTTAAATCATTTGCTCAATTTATGCTTGGGACTCAAGTTCTAATTCGAATAAATCTAAAAATTGACGTGTTTAATTAGAATCCATGCACGCTATTCATTAAATAGTTGTTGGTATTCAAATTCTCTTCTCACAATTAATTGTCTATATCAGTCCTCTCTCTCTCTCTCTCTCAAGCTACAATAAGCAGGATGTTCCAGCTTGGTGGCCGATGGTCTCTAATGAAGAAATGGTAAAAAACTTGTGCATCTTCATGGGAGAAGAGGGAGAAAGAAATATTCAACCAATACAAAAACAACTTCGAAAATCAAATAAAAATGATCAATTCTATTCGACAAATCAAATGATGTAAACAATATTTATTACATGTATGCGATTTTCCTTTAAATATTACGGTACCTTTAAGTACCATTAATCAATGAACCTTTGGTTTAATGGTACTTCTTATCTTGTGAAAACTTTATTTTCTTAAAATCAAGAGTTCAAGTCCCCCTCTCTCTCCAAAAAAAAAGTACCATTAAAGATTACGTTTTAAACGATTTTTAATATCTATTCGACTTTGAATTGAAAAGTATGTTTGATTAAACCATAGGTTACACGAATGTAATTTATCTCCCCAAGAATAAAAATTGTAGTTCATCATCTTTTGAATTTGAACTATCAGCTTCATGGAGGGAAAACTATAGTATAGCTGTTGATTAACTGGAAAAAAAAACACTCAAATTATTTATTAATCACATTACCATAAAGACAGTTTAGGGAATAAGAACAACACACTGTCACCAAAAGCTTTTGAGATTGCCTTCTCTGTGTGCTCTGGGGCATTAGCATTTTGCAACTTTTGAGAGCATTTACAACAAATCAAGTTTTTCAGAACCTTTTCTGGTATCCACTTTCTCAAACTTTTGTGACATTTATTATTTTCTTATTCCAACTTTGCCCTTTCCGTCACATTCTCCATTTGTTCGATCAATGTTAAATTGCAATTATTTTATCTGGGTAATTTGGATCCCTTATGGTCCGTTTGGTACAAAGAATAAAAAGAAGGAAGGAATGAAAAGTGGAAAGAATAATGCTCCATTTGGTATAATAGAAGAATAGAATGATGAAAAGTTAAAATGATTGAAAGTTTGAGAGATAAATAAAACATCATGTTTGGTAAGGAAGGAAAATAGAAAGGACGGAAAAGTGGATTAATTAACTTTTCTTCCAACTCACCAAAATCAATCATTCCAAAATCGAAATAAAATTGGATGGAAAGTTAATTATTTGTGTTGAGATGTATCTTATTTGTCAATATATTATGTATACATTAATTTCATATAAAAATACAATGATAAAATATGTATTTATATATATATAATATTTAAAAAATAAAAAATAAAACAAAAAGTTAAAATTAAAATTTAAAATTTAAAAAATTAATCATCACTAGGGGTGAAAATTTTCGACTCAACACAATGACACGACTAAAATTCGATACGAATTTTATGACACAAACTTGATTATAAACTCGACACAAACTTGAAAATGACCTGACACACGAACAAGAAATATAAAAGACTCATAATTTTATGACTCAACATGAATCTGACACGACACAAGTCGATTGTAACCCCTAATTTTAGCCAATCCAAAAAAAATTAAAAAAAATTAATTATTTTTATTTTTCATACATCCAACCAATCACAAAGGAAGGAAAGCGCATCATTTCTTCTTTTCATCCTTGAAAGTTAGAAAATGTATCTCTCTTACTTTTCATCTTTCATACTATACAGAGCATAAGGTTTCTATCTTTGAAGGAAAGAAAGTTATTTTCCTTTTTTTTTGTTTGGTAGGAGGGATGAAAAGTAAGAGGGATATATTTTTTATTGTTTGGTATTTGATGAAAAATGAAAAGAAAAGAAAAATATATATGCCCAATTTACAATTGTACCCTTAAATATGTTTTTTCACTCCAATAAGTAAAATGTAAAAAAGTCAATTTAAAAAATTATTGTCATGCCTTCACTTTTTCCCTCTACTTTCTGCCCAAATTTAAGCTAAAAATATTTGATGGGCTAGAAGAATAGAGATTCCCTCCCACTTTCCACTCCCTCATACTTTCTTTTGGTACTAAACAATGGAAACTTTTTCCTTCCTTTACATTTTCCTCCCTCACTTTCCTTCCTCCCATTTTCCACCATATCAAACACACTATTAAGATGTTTTTAACCTAAAGGTTTAGGATTCAGATTTCGACAGAATCAGAGTTTGTATGTGATAAATTTGACAAGCTGAATATAAACTGTAAGAGATAATTCAAGTGATAATACAAAAGAATTATAAATTCAAACGTTCTAAATTTGAATCTTGACAATCTCTTATTAAGATTCGTTTGGTAGGAAGAATGAAAAATTGGAAGGATGAAAAATTAAAAAAAATATATTTTCTCTCATTATGTTTGGTATGAAGGATGAAAAATTGAAGAGATGCATTTTCCTTTGTTTGGTATTGGATGGAAAAGAAAAATATATATACCAAATTTACCATTATACCCTCTCATCTAATTACACGAATAAGATTAAAGAAAATAAACCAAAATGCATGATTTTTTTTATAAGTATATAATATTTAAACTCCCTAAAGTTTATATGTATATAATATTTAGACCATTTTTAAGTTTAAAATATTATACTTCGACCAAAAATACTTCAATCAAAGATGAAATATTAAATATTTCAAATTTTACAACTAAAATTCATGTTTTATTGTATCATTTATTGAAATAAAATCAAAAATAAAATTTACTTATAAAGAAAAAATTTATTTAATTATTTAATGTGTATCTAACTAGAAATTATATGTATTTTTTTCATTATGTACATTTAATTATTAAATCTTCCATTACATATACCAAATAAACTTAATAAGTTAAGTTCTAATTATATTATGTGATAAATACTAAAAATTATATAATTAAAGAAAGTAGTGGGTAAAATATTCAATTCACAAAAAAACCCATATTCTCTCCATTTTCTGCCCATTTTTTTGGGGGGAAAGGTTTGGTGGACTCAAGGAAAAGCATTTTTCTTCCATTTTTTATTCCCTCCCATTTTCCCTCCATACCAAACAATGGAAAGATTTTCCTTCCTCCATTTTTCATCTTTCTTATTTTCCCTCCAACCAAACAGGGAGTTAGAGTCAAATCATGAGAGATTTATTCTTTGTAAATATTTTAATCATAATGTGAATGATTTGTCTTTGACCGGACAGAGAAGAAGATTAGTCGAAGTGCATATAAATTAGTTCAGACATTCTTGACCGTTGAAAAAACAAAATATAATAGTTTTATTTTCTTATTTTACTCAATTACATGTTACGTAACAAGAATTCGTATGAAATATTTTTTCTATAAATGAAACATTCAGTAATACTAAATAAGATTTGCTATTAATAACTTTAGCAAAAAAACGCAAAAAAAATTTGCTGAATTAAAGTCATATCCACTAGATTATGGATGTATATAGAAAATACACCTCCAAAAATTGTAACCGTCCACCTAACAACATCGACGGCTCACAGTTGTTGAACCCCACCTTCCTTAAAGACTGTTGATCACACTTCGAAAACAACAAAGCTTCTTAATCCAAGAAGTCAGCTTTTAGTTAATGTCAGTATTTAAGACTGCTAACCGAATATTTACTAAATAAATCCGAGGATATTTAAGGGGCAATACCGGAACTTTGGTCAATTCAAACACGTCCACGTTGTCAAACAACTAAAAGCGGCTGAGAAACCGAGACCCACGGCGATTTTCATTCTGCTCCACCACAATGTGACCTTCTGCAACCCCAAACCCAATTCTCTCTCTCTCTCTCTCTCTCTCTCTCTCTATCTCCTCTGCTACAGCATGATCTCCATGATTATATTTTTTCTTGAAAGCAGCAGAGCTCAACCAACTCTGATGCATATAATTAAGATATAATAATACAAGAAAAATAAGGTCAAGTTGTCCATTTGATTTCTTACCCATTTTTTATTTTTGAAGCAAAAACGAACGACCAACAAATCCATCTCTTCAATCTCTGTTTCTTTATCTCTACTTCAACTGCGAAAGCCCCATCTCAACAGCCAAACACACACACACAGCAACCTCCGATTCTAACAGCCATCTCTCTTGTGGTGGGTTTAAGAGAGACAGAGAGATGGTAGAGTTGAAGAAACCCACCACTACCAGGAACAGAGGCTTCTATGTCAGAATGAGATTTTTACACGGCAAACATGGAAGACAACAGGAGAGACCATTTTTCTGGAGATACTTCAAATGGGTTCTCTGGTTTTCTCTCTCTTTCTATTTCTTTGCCTCTTTTCTCATCACCCACAAACCTACCGCCTCTCTCTCCAAAACCACCGTTTCTCGCACCAAATCCATCCTTGCATCACGTGCTCTGTTCGAATCCATAAACACCACACCTCTACAACAATCCATAACCCAAAAAAGAAGTCCATTCAATGGCTTGAAAGTATATATATACGATTTGCCATCCAAATACAACAGTGACTGGCTATCAAACGAGCGTTGTAATAATCATTTGTTCGCTTCCGAAGTGGCCATACACAGAGCATTGTTGAACAGCGATGTACGGACGCTGGACCCAAAGGAGGCCGACTTTTTCTTTATTCCCGTCTACGTTTCTTGTAACTTCAGCACCGTTAATGGCTTTCCGGCGATAGGTCACGCTCGGAGTCTTTTAGCATCGGCGGTAGAGCTTATCGCATCGGAGCTTCCATTTTGGAATCGGAGTCTAGGCTCTGACCATATCTTCGTCGCCTCCCACGACTATGGAGCTTGCTTTCACGCCATGGTAAGCAAAAAAAAAAAAATGATATCCCCAATCAAATATTTGTTATTTTTGATTTTGAAAGTATGCTTTCTGTGATGATAGGAGGATGTTGCAATGGCTGATGGGATTCCAGAGTTATTGAAAAATTCGATCATATTGCAAACATTTGGCGTCAAATATCAACACCCATGTCAGGACGTTGAAAATGTGGTAATACCACCTTATATCTCACCGGAAAGTGTACGGTCAACGCTTGAGAAATCTCCGATTAACGGCCGGCGGGACATTTTCGTTTTCTTCAGGGGCAAAATGGAAGTACACCCTAAGAACGTCAGCGGACGTTTTTACAGCAAGTAACTTACACCATTCATCAAATATTTTTTGTTCACCATTAATTTTATCCCGAAATTACAAATTTAGCCCTGACTTTGGTTCTTAATTACAGGCGGGTTCGGACGATGATTTTGCAGAAGTACGGTGGTGACCGGAGGTTTTACCTGAAAAGACATAGATTTGCCGGTTACCAGTCAGAAATTGTACGGTCGGTGTTTTGCTTGTGCCCATTGGGATGGGCCCCATGGAGTCCGAGATTAGTTGAGTCAGTCGTTTTGGGTTGCGTACCGGTCATCATAGCTGACGGTATCCGGTTGCCTTTCTCCGCCGCAGTGAGGTGGTCGGAGATATCTCTCACGGTGGCGGAGAAGGACGTGGCAAACTTGGGAACCATCCTGGACCACGTGGCTGCAACAAACCTCACCACCATACAGAGGAACTTGTGGGACCAAAATGTTAGGGAGGCCCTACTCTTCAACGATCAGATGGTGGAAGGTGATGCAACGTGGCAGGTGCTTGATGCACTCGCGGAGAAGGTGAACAGATCTCAGAGGAAGTCTAGAGTTTTCAGCGAATCGTGATTTGACAAGTGGCCGATTCTGATTGAATTGAGATATGCCAGCTAAGGAGGTACAGTGTACGTAACATAATGGTGGGAGACAGCTGGGTTTTATTGGAATTGTCACAGAGAATTTGTATTTGGATGGATTGGATCTATGCTCTGTGTTGCTTAGGTGGGTCCGTGAGGATGAGATTTTGTTGGCTAATGTGGGGCCGTTTGGCTGTGTTGGCGGGTTGTGATAGGATCATTGTTCGCTTTAGTGGGACATTGGTGTTATAATGTTCATGTGAGAGGAATAATTTTTGGTAAAATAATACGATGAGTTGGGAATTGAGTTATGGTTGGGAGCTCACGTGATTTGTGGGGCCCTTCTTTGCTGTACAGTTGTAAAGAATAATTTTGGGACAAAATATTTAATTTAAAATAAGTTGAAATTAGCAAGTATTAACTCATTTTTGGTAATTTAAGTTCCATTATCATTTAAATGTTTTTAATGTGAATTTAATTATCTAGTGTAATTGTGTCTATAGAGAATATATATTATTGTTATAAAGGAATGTGAGATTTTGTGTCCAAATGTAAAATAATTTGGTTTTTTTTATTAATCTTAACCACTATTGGTCATTTCTTTTATTTTTTTATCCTTCTTTCACTCATTTAAAATCACACATAAACATGATCGTGCAAAGATTATTGAATTAATAGGTCTTACAAGCTTTCAATAACAATGAAATAAATAAGATTTTTTTTATTTTGTTATATGATATTCAGACTTGTGTGGACTATTAAATTAGTTTATAGGGTGTGCATCCAACTCTATTAGATTCTTTGTTGACTTTGAGAGTTATGCGTGTGCACCATATGCTGTCCTGTTTGTATGACCAAATTTCCACTTTGGATGTTGATAAAGAATGTCCTTAATATCTTATACGATCGAGCTCACAGACTAATGAGGTTTGAGATGAGAAAGTATGATAGAGTGAACAATGTTCTATGAGTCTCTTTCTATGAGCACATGAGACCATTTCTTATCATTACCCATTCCACCCCTTGCCTTGCAACTAGAGGCTAAAGCCTCTGCTATTAGGGGTCTGTTTCTACTATAATCCCAAGTATGCTTCCTAAAATTGAGCCATCTTATAGTAGAGCAATTACTGCAATACATGATTTTCCTGTTTTTCATTGTTGCATCAATATTAATCTTTATAAATTTTTAGTGTGGAGTTTTCCAAGCTTCTGATGCGCTCATGGTTGCTGGGACCTTTGGGTGGAGTTTAACCTCACTGAATTCGTTAAAAGTATTCAAAACTTGATGAAGAAATTACTATGAAATGACTAACTATTTGTCGTGGAGAACTTTATTCCTCCAATTTCAGATACTATAGGTTAATATAGCTGTGAAGAACAGCAGTTCATTGCAAGGGGGGCTATTAGGTCCAAAAAAGATTGTGGGATGGAGAATGTTTTGAATATATTCTTGTAGACTAAGAGGAGAGATAAAATCTGTGCAAAATCCCCATTTTGTGAACAATACCATCCTAGGTAAAGGGCAGAGGGAAAAAAGATTGGTTGAAGTTTTTGGACATTGATGGCATATGAGGCAGAGTATATCTGGTATGAAAAATATGCAGGCTAGTAATATTCTAGGTAAGCATTCCATAGTCATTCTCCACAAAAAACATTTGGGCAAAATCCAATTTACCCCCTTGTGGTTTGGGTGCTTTGCACATGACCCTCTATGATTTGGAAATCAGTACATTACCCCCTTGTGGTTTTGGACCGATATACACAATTAACACCGTAAACATAAGTGATAAAATGACTTTAGTACCCTCAAAATCTCAACCGTTAAATCTCAAAATAGGCCACGTGTTATGAGTTCCACTTGAACTTCTCATGCCCACTCACACCAGTTAGCAATATATCTCTCTTCCCATCATCCCAACAAAATTATACCTTGTTGCCTCTCTCCCACACTCTCTATCTCTAACTCAGTAATGTCATTGCTCCCTCTCTCTCTCCATCATCTCTCTCCATCAACAACTCCCTATTCCCTTTCTATTTCTCCAAGCAACAACCTCTTTGCCTCTTTCTCTCACCACCCTTCTGCCACTATTGGCAACCTTCTCTATGTCTCTCTCTCTCTACAACCAATAAATCAATGCTCCACTTTCCCCCAATTATCACTACCACTAGGGCAACCATCACAACCACGACCATACTACTCATTTACAAAGTATAAACTCAAACCCCCAATCACCCTAATCGAAGCAAGGATTCTAGAGGACTATTGGTTTTGTGCTGGGTATTTGTATTTGTGCTGGGTATTTGTACTTGTCCATGGCCTTGTCTAAATTATATAAGGCAGATCAGAGAATATTTGGGTAGTTTGGAGTATCGGTTGATGCATGTGTTTAGAGAGACTAATGTTGTTGCTGATAGGTTAGCTGCTCAAGTTGTGATGAGTCGAAGGATTACTCATTTTTCGGTGAAGTTGCAACTGCCTTGTGAGGTTGGGTTGGCTTTGCTGAATCACCAGAAGGGATTACCTGTTCTACGGAGGAAGATGAGAGTTGTGTTTGATGAAATGGGCTAACAGGCTTTGTTTTATTTAAACATCCTTGAAGTAAATGTTGATTTGTTTGAAATTTACTGGAAAGAAAGCTGGGTAGTGGCGATGTTTTGGTCTGGGAGTTGGCTGGACAGGCTGCTGGTTAACTTTTGATTTTTTTACTTAAGTTTGGTTTGTTGTCTTTTAAGGCATATATTTTGCTTTCTGGTTTCTATAAGGCGTTTGTGCCTTATATTTGCTTCTTATAATTACTGTTTTTGTAAATAAATAAAATTCTGTTAAAAAGAAGGGATAAATTGAATCCCTTGTTTTCTTTTGTTTCCTCTTGGTCTTCATTTATCTATGTTATTATTGATGTCTTGCTTAGTTGATTAAACTTGGCTTTGAAGTAGTGGCAATGGTGGTGGTGCACAGTAAGGCAACTGCTCAGGAAGATGAAAATTGAATAAATGTATTTATTGTATTTTTATTGTGTCTATTTTTTTAGGAAAACACATTTTGTTATGTCAAACCTTCTGTTAGGCGCGTGTATGTCACAGATGATCTAATCTAACGGAAAAACTAACGGTAGTATTATAGTCTAAAAACACAAAAATGTAATGTACTGATTTTCAAATTATAGAAGGGTCATGTGCAAAACACCCAAACCATAAGGGGCAAATTGAATTTTGCCCAAAACATTTTATGTCTCTCACGTGGTTTATTATATTGGAGGAAAAAAAAAACTTGAGTAAAAAATAGGAGTTTTTGCGGGTGCAGAGGTATGGGTGGAATGGGGTTGAATAGTAATTTAGAAGTGGTTGTTGTGAATAGAATAGAATAAATGAAAAGGGGGAGACACGAGGGAAAGGCCAAGCTGGAGCTGAACACAGAAGATGTGTCAGAGCTTTCAAATGTGTTAATGTGTTATGTTATGGTGGGGGATGGACCGTGACGGTGGCAGTGTCTCAGTCTTTACTGTGGTCACGGGTACAGAAAAATAACACTAACAAACAGCTTCCAAAACCAAACCTCTTCGCAACCGCACTTCTCCACGAGCCTTGCCAATTTTTCCTCTTTTTTTTTTTTTTTTTTTGTGTTTAAATTAATTTATGCACATATTTCAATTAACCTCTTCTTTAATTCAGTTAACAACAAATCATTTATACCATAATTAAATTATTCATAAGAAATAAATCTCTTAAAACATATCTTTAAAGAGTTATCAAAATTTAAATTTAAAATGTTTAAATTTATAGTTCATCTTTATTTTTACTTGAGTTACCCTTTAAAATTAATTTTTTCTTAAACCTTGGGAAAAAAAATTAGCATCTAAACAAAAGATTAATAATATATATAATAAAGTTACTAGTTTTAAATGCGTAGTTATAATTCATTGAGATAATTCATTAACGATCACAAAATATTGTGATTCATCATGAATTACTTATATATTAATTGTAAATTCTCTTTTATGAATTGCAACTTTTATTTTGCCATTATATTTTACCTTCTTTTATAATTGACTAGTTTTGTAGTGCGTGTGTTGCGCGTGAACAAATTAAAATAATAAAAAATCTTATCAAATCATGAAAAACATATATATAATTAAACTAAGGCTTTTTTTAAGGTGCCATGGTAGTTCAGAATTTTTTAAAATATCTTGACAATTATAAACTTTTATCATTTATCATTTTCATTTTTATTTTCATCGCACGAATTACTATGAATTCAAGTATTCGACTTGATAAACTGCGCATTGTTTTCCCCAAAAAACTTTGACTCTAATAAGCTTGAGCTAAGCATTTGATTAGTATCACACTCTGTTTATTCCATTTCATAAGAACACAATATTTAATTCGATTCCACAACTTCCATTATACTTTCTGTTTACTAGCAATACATCACGTGCGTTGCACGTGAAATTTTTTGTTAAAATATTTGATAAAATACTAAAAAATTTAATTATATAGTTAATCTCATATTTATCATACTTAAATTGTTTGTTTGTTGATAAAAAAAAAATTACATATATCAATTTTTTTAGCATCAGAGATGATATTGTATCAATGAAGTTGTCAATGTGTATTAATATTGAAGTTTTGAAAAAAAAAATAACGTTTTTTGTGTATCCCGTTAAGAGTAACATGACCATCTAAAAGTTTTGCTAAGATCATCAGAGATTTATATGATATACTGGATATTAGTTTGTTATTTAAGTACAGAGGAATATAATAATAATTTGAATATTTAAATACAAAATGACATGTTAACATTTATAGTTTTTTATAAGAATAAAATAATAAATTAAAAAAAATTTCATGTTAAGGTACTTTTATTAGTAATATAGATTATATGCAGAACACCAAAACAAAAATAAAGTTATGCACCGAAAAAGATTAGCAAGCTCCTCCTTGGCCTCTTTCCCTCGTGGCATTAAGTTGTGCATCTATTCCCCTGTTTCATATGAGATGCCGTTACTCGTTTATTATATAATGAGCAAAACAATCATAATATCACTCCATGAGCACTCGTTTAGTTACCTGCACCTTAGTGGAATTTCGATTGTTCAAACCTCCTCGTTTTGAATAATAGTATTCCATAGAGGAAGATCACGGTAACCAATTAGTTTCAAAAGAAAAACAATACCAAATAAGAAAATCAGCCAAATGAAATTTCTGGTAGAAGTCAAACGACCAACCAATATCTTGTATAGACAATGTATTTTTGCAATATGTCAACTAAATACATTAACCAACATTTATGAAAAATGAGAATAACATTGAGCAACATTAGTGTTTGCAGCTTGTGCATCTCTGGAAATGCAGGATGACTCACTTGGGTTATTTTTTTAATAACATAATATCTATGGTATCTCCATGTTCTTC